GGGGAAAAAATGAAATTAGAGATAGTACTTCCATTTCTTATGACCTGGGATTAGAACCCATATTAGCTTTTATTTCAAGTCTTACTGCATTTTTGAAATTGTTTCCAGCTTTTGCATTCTACTAAACTCTTATGACTGCTAGCTATAGGTTAATTTAGCTAAGACACAAGGTTTGAAATAACATTAAATTATTAGCATTTTAGTTGTCCTTTTTTCATTAGTAGCGATTTTCTCACGTATGCCCTCGACAGAGGAATTTTGTTAGAGCCTTCGTTTGGCTTGTGAGTAGGCCGTGTCTTTTTCTCTGGGGCTCTAATTCTCCAGCGGTTCTCAACCTTCCTCATGCCAAGACCCTGTCATACAGTTCCTCATGTGGTGGTGACCTCTCAACCATAACATTATTGGCGTTGCTACTTCATCACTGTCATTTTGCTACTGTTATGAATCAGATGACCCCTGTGAAAGAGTCGTTCGACCCCCAAAGCAGTTGAGAACCGCGGTGTCTACTGTGTGACACAACGGTTACATGTTGGGCTGTTGACTGAAAGCTCGGCAGTGGGAAACCACCAGCTGCTCTGAGGGAGGAAGGCGAGGCTTTCTGCTCCTGTAAAGAGTGACGGTCTTGGATAGCCATGGGGGTCGCCGAGTCGGATTCCACTCAAAGGCAGTGAGAATGAGTAGCTGCATTCTGAGGCTCTCCCTGCGTTCTGATCCTGCCCTTGCTCTTTGTAGGCATGGAAAATTGCTGACGAACTCAAACAGTCACCAGGACTGTCAACCAGACCAACTGTTGGCTTTGCCATCTGGCCCCTCAGGCGGTCCATGAGAACCGACCCAGTGGCAGCTGCGTGCATCTTCTGCCGTGGCTAACCAAGCCCTTTTAGTTAAAGCAATTCAGACAAGGCTATGGCACCACCCCGGCCCTGCAACCAACTTCGTTTACTTTAACCCACGTCAAGGATGAGGTTCCAGATGACAGCACCTGGATGAGAGAGAGGCGATCGATGAAAAGTAACTACGAATTCGCAAGTCCTGCTGGGCAGGCCCAGGAATATCAGATCCAAGCCCTTTTATCACAAAAAAAGTTACAACCTGCTCATTTAAAACTGATCCTACGGTTGTCTCTCAATCCACTTGGCGCAAAACTCCAATCCCTCTGTAATAATTCTGTAATAACGACCTAGCTCGAGGAAGCCAATCAAGCATCCCCTTCCCTTGTGATTACACACAAAAGAAAATGCTGTGTTCCTACTGGCCTTATCATGTGATGGACAGGAATCCTCTACGGAGAAGAATTCTTATCCTCGCCCTAAAAAGGCTCCGCCTTCCCTAGAGTGGCTGGCGCACAGGGGTACGGTGTACCCTGGACCTCACTGGGCACACAGTGGTACAGTGTACCCCAGACCCCACTGGGCACACAGTGGTACAGTGTACCCCGGACCCCACTGGACGCACAGTGGTAGTGTACCCTGGACCCCACTGGGCACACAGTGGTAGTGTACCCCAGACCCCACTGGGCATACAGTGGTACAGTGTACCCAGGACCCCACTGGACACACAGTGGTACAGTGTACCCTGGAACCCACTGGGCACACAGTGGTACAGTGTACCCTGGACCCCACTGGGTGCACAGTGTGGTAGTGTACCCCGGACCCCACTGGGCGCACAGTGGTACAGTGTACCCCAGACCTCACTGGGCACACAGTGGTACAGTGTACCCTGGACCCTACTGGGTGCACAGTGTGGTAGTGTACCCCGGAACCCACTGGGCGCACAGTGGTACCGTGTAGCCCGGACCCCACTGGGTGCACAGTGTGGTAGTGTACCCCGGAACCCACTGGGCGCACAGTGGTACCGTGTAGCCCGGACCCCACTGGGACCCTTTTAGACATCCAGACACATGATAAAAGCACTCGCTGGATGGACAGATTTGAATTAGTGGAGACAGTAGATGAAAATGGGTTTAGAGGAAAATGAGTTTAGTTACGGATACAGTCCCATCGAAGAGAATCCCAGACGGTCATTCTCAAGTCCTTACAAAGCTCTGAGGCTGCGGGGAAAGTAAGGCTGCTGCTGTCCTGGCTGTTCAGGACAGCCACCAAGCTCATTCGCAAAGGTCATAACTGACAACTGTCCGTTCTTCCCTTTTGTTTTTCTAACTCCCGGTCGTCGCACAGTTTGTTCTAACACTTTGTCTTCTTGAACCACTCTGATATTCTCTGTGTAGCACGGACTTGATTTCTTCCCTTGCCTTAGCTACTCTATCCTTAAAAGCAAGTTGCAGTCACTTCTGACATCCACTCTGGTCTCTTCCCTGTCTCTTAAATGACCTTTTGCTTCCATCCTATATAACGTTCTCGATGTTATTCACAACTCATCAGTCCAGATCACCAGGAGGAGATCTCCTCCTATTGAGGAGATCTCTAGACGCTGTCTTTTGGTTCTCAGGAGCTTGTTTCAAGTTGACGTGAGCTTCAACTTGAACTTGCCTATGAACTATCAACGGTGCGTTCTGCCATCAGCCCCTGGCCTGATCTGGGAGCACGGAGCTTCTGCACACCTTTCCCCAGATGCCATTGGTTTCTGTGTAATCCATCTGGTGGGGTCGACGTGTAGCCACTGTCTACGTGGTGGTAAGAAGGTGTTTCCCATTGTAGAATGCATGAGATCCTCGGTGTCATTTCTATCACCAAGGACATTGTTTTCTGGCAGCTTCTTTTCAACACACAAGCTACCACAGGATGACAGACGGACACACAAGGGGTGGGCTGATAGAATCGGCTGCTGGACAATATCTGGGTGGCTTCATGGAATTCCTTTAATGGCCATTGTAAGTATAATTGGAACAATTAATGCTGTAGGATGGTTACCATGAATGCCTTATTCCAGAGAAACCACCTGATGGCTCTGGCGGGTCAGTATTTGTGGAAGTATTAACACTCCCGCCCACTGGAAAATTCCAGGGCTTCGTCATTCATTGAAAATGGTCAGCCCGCACAATAGTGTCAGGTCAGTGACACTCGAACACCTGTATTCCTTAAGCACAATATTCTGCATCACTCTGTGGACTGGAGTACAGCCCTGCTGTAGTACAAATTGGGCCCAACGCCTGACTACATTAAGCAAACAAAAGGGAAAAAACAAAACAAAACAAAACCAACCACTCTCAGCTTAGGTTTCCACCCCTCCCTCCCACCAACTGTTTGTGTTTACTCAAAGTCGCTGAGGACGAAGTGCTTCTGATCCAAGCCATAGTCTGGTTCAATCGCCTCATTACACGGGAAGACTGGGCGGTCTATAAGGGATAATTAACGCATCTGAATTACAGCATTGACGAAGACCAAGACAAGTCCTGAGGCCTGCCAGAAGAACAAACCACTCTGTCTTGGAAGGACAGCCAGAATGCTCCTTTAACGTCAAGATGGTACGAGGGAGGGGCAACGGGAGGGAGGGGAAAAAACCGAGCTGGTGCCAGGGGCTCACGTGGAGAGCAAATGTTTTGAGAATGATGAGGGTAACGAATGTACAAATGTGCTTTATACAATTGACGTATGTATGGATTGCGATAAGAGTTGTATGAGCCCCCGATAAAATGATTTAAAAAAAAAAGTCAGGCTGGTAAGACTTCTTCTCACGTACACGGACAGGTTATCTGGAGAGGCCAGTCCCTGGAGTAGATCATGCTTGGTACAGGAGGTTGGAGGAGGAAAACTTTTGACAAGATGGATCGGCACCGTGGCTGCAACAGTGTGCTCGGACAGAAGGACGGCGAGGGCGTGCAGGACAGGGCCGTGTCCCACTCTGCTGTGCACAGCGACGCAATGGGAGTGAACAAGTGAATCCTTGATGGAAACACATCAAAAGGAGGCCCTGCTGACAAAAGGGTCCATGATCTCCGGGCAGGTCCTGGACTGTGAACCTGAAGTTGCACCTTCTGCTGAGGAGATGCCTGTTTTACCTTCCGCTCTGAACCAAGGTCTGAGAGGATGACACACACTTACTAGCTACTGGCCATGGGAATATGTGAGGAACAGTGGAAAACTGTTTTCTCGGGGTGGGGGACTCGATAGAATATTCTCCATGACGTTGGCAGCCGCAGCCCTGCCGGCACCCGCTCCCTGGCCTTCTTGTTTCAGGGACCCAGGTTCCAGTGACCAGGGGCGTCACGGAGACCAACAAGCTAAAGGGAACGGAGGCTTGAGATTGAAGTTCTGTCGACAGTGACGGGCACGCGTGGCTCGGACGATCATGGTTGGTGTCTTTTTTGCAGGCGGCTTTGCAAGCTGCGTGAGGATGCTTTTTATTGAGAGCACCCTGCTGGCTTATGGAGTGAGGAGGCCTACATGAGTGGCACTAAGAATGACTGACCCGACTCACTGTCTCACTCATTCACTACCTCACTCTCCCTCTCTCACTGCCTCACCCTCTCATTGCCTCACTCATTCACTACCTCACTCACTCTCTCACTGCCTCACTCATTCACTACCTCACTCACTCTCTCACTGCCTCACTCATTCACTACCTCACTCTCACCCTCTCACTGCCTCACTCATTCACTGTCTTACTCACTTTCTCATTCACTGACTCGTACTGTCTCATTCACTCACTGTCTCACTCACTCAGTCTCACTCACTCACTCACTCACTCACTCACTGCCTCACTCACTCACTGTCTCACTCACTCAATCACTGTTTCATTCACTGACTCTCACTGTCTCATTTACTCCCTGCCTCACTCTCTCACTACTTCACTCACTCACTGCCTCACTCACAGAAAAAAAAGAATAAAAGACGAGAATAGTCGACCCTCATTTTTTGTAGGGCTAATAGATGTAATCTCCAAATTACCACCCCATAAATGCCAGAATAAAAAAAAAAAAAAAGAATGACTGACCCTCTTAGACCATAGGGTCCAAGAGCAGACCCTGAGGGTCAGATGATGATCTGTGGGTGTTTTGTACTACATATATGTGTGTGTGTACATATATCAATACACACAAATATGTGGGGTAGTTTATTAAAATTCTGTGTCAATGTTTTATATGAAAGTCACAACCCATAGATAATCATTGTTAACATTCTACCAGTCCTACATTTTAGAAGGCGCCAGCACTTTGGAAACATGGCAAGGAGATCAAACTGGCAGGGTAGAAACCTCAGGATGGGTTAGCCCTGGCTTTTCTCACAGTGCCATGCTGTCTGGTCCTGCTGGAGAAAGGGGGGAGCCTCACCCACAAGCACCGTCACCAAACAGCGATGGCTCTTCCCCTGGCTGTGGCATGCTGTCTCTCTCAAAGGCTTCTGACTGGTTGAGGCAGAAGACTGTGAGTAGCCAAAGTGGATCCATAGCCCCTAGATGGGCCAGCAGGACACCCTGGAACCCTACCCAGGCCAGGAACCTGAGATGGGAAACTACGAGCTGCTATCAGCCACATGGATCCCCACCAGATTATGCAGGGCAGCCAAGCCTCGTCCCCTCTGCCCGCCCCCTCCTCAGTGGGAAGCCCCACCGAGGGCAGTGGGTACAGGTGAGGGTGTGTAGCTTCCCAGAGACCTGATGCTCTGGGTTACACCCAACCGTAGTGTCAAGAGTGCAGAGCGTGGCCCCACTTAGAGACAATGGCACTATGTCAGGGCAGAGTAGAGCATCTTGGGAAAATTCAAGATGTCTACTCTGAAACTCAAGAATATGGAAGCCACCCCCGAATGCAGGAAGGTCCTCTTAGAAGTACTGCTGGTTTTCAAGCAGCACCCCGGCTTCACCCCTTGAGCTGCTTACTGTAGTGCACACTGCGATGCAGACTCGGAACCCGACCTTACACCGTGAACGGGTTCAGCAATCCAGGTGTCACCATCTTCACAGATGTCTCAACTCTGGGTTTTGCTGCACGAGCTGAGAGGGACCGCGGAACCAACTTGTGTGGTTCACAGCACGTCCCCAGCCCTGGGCTGCATCCGGCCTTCTGGAGGAAGCGGGCCCAGGGCCACTGCCTCACCCTGGGTATTGCACCCAGGGAAGGAGAGCAATTTCTCGACGTCGATACAGTTCTGGGCAGAATTTATAGGATGTAAACGAGAAGTCCTTCTATCACATTTAGGGTTTAGAGGAGAAGAAAAAAAAAGCTAAAATTCTCATAAAGTAAAAATAGTTGCACATCGGTCTTGTCCTCTGTGCAGCCCTGAGATGAAGTGTGTGGTTGGGCCCAGGCTCGCGAGGCACTTCAGTCTTCTTCAAACTGGCTCATCATCAACTTCCTGCTGTATTCGTAGGCCAGGAAGAGGGCCCCGTTGGCAGGGAAGGCACGAATCATAGTCGGCTTCAGTCCGGAATACAAAGCTGTCACACCTACAAAATAATGAGAGACAGTAGGGTGATCGGGACTGAGACGACCCTCCCCCGGACAAGTCCCCCACAGCTGCAGGGCGCAGCATCACCCAAACCCCACACAATGGATTTAGTCCTAGGTTTCGGTAAACACGTGAGCGGAAACAAGGACAGGTGTGTGGATTCCAGCCAAGCAGATCCACGCTCAAGTTCTGCGTCAGCAGCTTTGCAAGTTCAATTGGGCTGTGGAGCCAGGCTGTGGTGCTATAGTGTTACATATTGATTAGGCTAATAACCATGAGGTTAGCAGTTCGAAAACACCAGCCAGCTGCTCCCCAGGAGAAAGACGAAGCTTTCTACTCCTACAAAAAATGAACAGTTTCAAAAAAAAAATTAAGCTTCAGAAGCCCCATCAAGGCAGTTCTGCCCTGTTCTACAGGGTCGCTATGAGTCGGCAGTGACTCTGTGGTATCGAATGCAGGCCACAGGAATCATGGGAAATACAGAAGGCAGAGTTTTTGACGTCAGCAGACCATTTTCTAGTACTGGCCCTGGACTGACACTGCCCATTGCCATCTAGCTGTTCTTATTCGCAGTGACCCTACGGACGGAGACCTGTCCCCATAGGCTTCACTGGTCTGTCATCTTTATGGGAGCAGGTCATCATGTTGCAGCAGCTCGTGGGTTTGAACTGCCAGCCTTTTGGTTAGCAGTCGAGTGCCTTAACCACTGCACCACCAGGGCTCCTGGACTGACATTAAAGGGGGGAAATTGGTTCCCAGCGTTGTTATGAAAACTGGATAAGGAACGTGTCAGTACTCTGTGAAACTATAAAGGGTTGTGCAGATTTAACGTTGGATTTCTACTGACGTGTGGAGCCAGGTGTCTGCACCCACTTAACCCATGAATCAAACTGTTTCTGCCTACTGCGATACAATTACCGTGCTGTGGAGTTTCAGGTGCATTGTGGGTGTTGAACCGACAAGTCTTTACTCTCTGGTTTCATAAAGTTGGCTTTGCACAAACCTTAAAATCCTCACTCTCCTGCATTAGCTAAAAATGAACCGTAAATCCTCTTCAGAAACTTCTTCATCCATTTTTAATCCCAGAAGGCCCAGCATTGGGATGCATCATGTCTCTAATAAGTCCCTAATGGTCAGGTTAGAGGTCATCTGATATGTATAACAGCTGTCTAACAACTGTTATGTAAAGCAGGGTATCACATCTGTTAGGTCAAACATACTACGTATCACACGTTATGCAAAACAGCTGACCTCTGCTGTGTAAAACAAGTATGTAACCTCTGCTATGTAAAACCCCATGCCTTCTTATTCCCTTGGGCAGAGCCCACCTTTACACCATCCCTTCCAGATGAGGTAGACCAGAGAAACCCCAGCTAGTATCTGGCCTAGAGATTGGATATAGGAACTCCAAGACCTCTCCTAGGGGAAGGAACATCGGAATTTTAGGTGAATGGATTCATTGGATTGTGTAAGTTATGGCAATAATAATAACATTAAGGGTTCAAGGGAGGTGGTACGGAGGGGGAAGGAGGGGTTAAAAGGGAGCTGACGATGGCAACAATTGTACAACTACGCCTGATCTAAGGGAACTATGGATTGTAATGATATCTGTAAGAGCTCCCAATAAAATGTTAAATAAATTGAAGGAAAAAAGAAAGCGACCAGGAGAGACCGGCAAAAGCAAGCTGCAGAAAGGCACCAGCGCAGGTGTGAGGCAGGTGTGAGGCACCCACACGGCTAGACACAGCAAGCGAGAAGCCCACTCACAGGACACACCTCCCCTGCCCCGGATGCCGCCGACTTACCTTCATTCTTCAGCACACTAAGGAAGGTTCCCACAAACCCGGTCTGTCTTCCAGACATGGAGAGAACCTGGATTCTGGACTTGATGCAATCCACGGGGTACACAGCCAGCCAGAGGCAGATTCCGCCCACACCGCCGCTCAACATCAAAGGCACGGGGCCTGCGGAGGAAGCAGAGAGCGGGCCTCAGTGCGGGAGGTGCCAACGCCCACGCAGGTGAGCGCAGTCCTCCCAGGAAATTGAGCACAGGAAGCACTAGTTGGGTTTGGTTGGCCTGGTCCACTGCTGGGTCCCGTGGTTTCCCGCTCAGAGGGCTGGACTCCCGGGGAAGGGCAGGCCCACAATGGGTGGCGATGCCTGATGATGGGAGACTGGATGGAAGGCCAGAGTACATGGGCACGTCATTTATCAACTCAGTATTTTAATACGTTGAAACCTATAGCCCCAGTTTTTGCTTTAAAAAAACAAACAAACAAACAAACAAACAAAAAAGCAAGAATCTCCTATGAAAACCCCAACATCATGGCCTGGAGAGCCCCCTAGTGCCCCAAACACCCTAAGGAGATAACTGAAGGAAAGGGGCATACTTAATGAGTCGGGCCTGACACACAGTTAGGCCAAGGGGCTAAGCAGAATAAGCCACGATGGCTACACTTTCACTGGTCTCAAAACACGATCCGGATTTATTATCACGATTTATTACCACTGCAAGCTCAGTTCTAGGGCATTCTCTGTGGGAAAGGTAATTTCTGCACCTAGATTAGATCCAGAACAAATGTTTCTCCTTCTAGAGAGGGATTTGAGTGGTGCTGCTTCGACCCTGCCGGAGTGAGGAAGAAGCCCCAGGGAAGGGTGCTAGTTAGTCAGCTCCTCTGTCCAGAGAGGACTAGGGCTGGGGGGTGGGGGTTAGGGGGTGGAGGGGTGGGGGCAGAGTGGAAGATGGACCTCTCCCCACCAAGGGACGCCCACAGCCCAGGATCGGAAGCTACCATTGCCAGGGAGTGCAAACACCCAGTACAGGTGCGTGTACACACACACACACACACACACACACACACACACACAAGCACGCACTCTCTCTCGCTCTCTCTCCACCCCTCCCACCACCACCACTCCCCCATTTCTCATCACTCACTCTCTTACCTAGCTCATCTTTTGGTCTCCCTGATGCAAAAAACGACCGGCTCAGTTCATAGCCACCGAAGAAAAAGAAATAGCCGGGTACTTCTCGAAGCAAAGTGCTCGAGAGTCCTTGGTAGAAGCCCACGGCGCCGTCCTTCTGCAGGATGCTCTTCACCACCGACCACACTGTACTGGGAGGAGAGAGAGAGCGTGGCACAGTGACGGTGGGCACCCAGCTAAGGGGCTGACTACACGCTGTCAGGGGACACGACTCTGTACGAAGAAGACCAGGGCGTGGTGAGAGTGAGAGCCAGGCTTCGGTGGGACAGAGGCGTGTGGATGACAAGTGGCGTCACCTCAATGGTGGTTCCGTGGTTCCACATGGAGGCATGCCTTTCCAGATTCGTATGATCGGCGATGTGAAGAGCGGGTGCCCATCCGAATGAACAGAAACGAGTGCCCCAGCCCCGGGAAGCGGGTATCAGGTTAGGTCAAGTGGAGGGGCAGCAAACAAGAGGAAGATCCTGGCCGAGATGGACTCAAACATAAGGATGGTGAGCGTGGTGCAGGACCGGGAGGCAGTTCTTTCTGTCGTAGGCAGGGTCGCCGAGTCAGGACCAACTTGATGGCAGAAAACCACAGAGTGACAAGCGTGACAAACGCGCCATGAATAAAGTGCCGTTTTGCTTGCCCGCTCCCTTATCCCCCAGGGCCGCTTCCCCCTTTCTTTTCACGGGCTTTGTTCCGATGGCGTTTGCTCAGTGTGGGGTTCCTCTGGCTTCCATTAACAAGAACAACAGACAACTCACAGTCGGTTCCGCCTCAGACGAGGCTCTTGGACAGGGTAGAACTGTCCCTGTGGGTTTCTAAGACTAACTTGTTTAGGGGGTGTAGAAAGTCTCACCTTTCCCCGTGGAGTGCCCCGGTGGTTTAGAACTGCTGACCATGTGCTTAGCAGCCCAATGCGTAACCACTGTGCCACTAGGGCCCCCTGGTTGTACTTCGGTACAGAGAAATGAGCAAAGGCGGAAATGTCACCAGAACACAGACACATTCTCAGCTCTGAGCTGGAGCAACTACGACGCAGTGAGTATTGAGGATCGTTGATTTTAAGCAGAACACAGCCCTGCTATGAAAGCCACTGAACGCAGGCCCACTCGGCATCTGGACTCCCTCTGTGACAGGTCTGACCCCTATTAAAACCCAGACCAGAGGCCTGTCTCGTCCGTGCGACTCAGAGAGGCCTCATGTTTCACTTTGTTCCCAGAGAACGGGCCACTGGGCTTGAGCAATGAAGGATTCCAGCCCAAAGGTAATATAAGCCACATGCCTTTAATGATTATCTTCCTTCTGGGGACTTTAGAAGGCCTCCCTGGGCAGGCCTGCACTCCCGCAGGCATTCTGGACTGCAGCATGGAAGCAAAGAATGCAACAGCCCCACTACCTGCTTCCAGACCAAGTCTTCACCCCAAGGCCGTCTCACCCCTCTGGTCTGGGGGACTCTGGTACCCCAAATACCAAGCCAGAGCTCCTAGTTCATACTTTTCTTACAAAGAGTCTATCTGGCTTAAGTCCCTTTGGTTTTAAAAACTACTGGTGCTTTCTTCCAAAAAAATATCTTAAATATGAATCTAAATGCCCATCCGCAGAGGCATGCACAAACAAAATGTGGTTTATAAGACTTACAGATGGAATATCACTCAGTCTTATAAGAAATGGTCCTAATAGATACTGCCATACGGGTGAACCAGTATGCTGCGTGAAATCAAGCAGGAGAGTTCAATCTTGTGTTGTCCTACAAACATGAAAAAAATCTACAATAGGCGACTGCATAGAAAACCAAGTTTGTTACTGGTTACCAGGGGTAGGAGGCAGGAACAAGGGAGCTCACTATTTAGGACACAGGAATACTGACTTTCTAGTAAAGGTCTGGGCTGCTGACTGCAAGGTCCGTGGTTCAAACCTACCAGCAACTAGAGAAAGATGAGGCTGTCGGCTCCTGTACAGATTTACAGCCTTGGAAACCCGACAGAGAGTCACTATGAGTCATGGTCAACTTGACGGTGGTGGGTTTGATGTTGCTTTTAGCTTCTAATAAGAATGACATGAACACACCCGTCAATAAATTGTACATGTGAAGAATGCAGAAAGGGCAAATGTTCTGTTACATACACATTTACAACACAAGAAAACACCTTAAAGTACTTGGAAAGGACCTGAGGGCAGTTTTCTGAAAGCTACTCATGTTCTACTCCTTCATCTGGCCAGGAGTTAGAGTTTCGCAGTGAAATGAAATGACTTGCTGGGGCTCTCCTGTCCAGTCTTTATAACTTCCACCAAGTGGCTGGGAGGGAGCATGTCAACAGGGCATAAAGAATTCTAATGAGTGGATTGGGCAGTTTTGCCATTATGCTGGGTACAAAGAATGGAGAGTCTTGTGACCACCAAGAAAGCAGAGCCAGCAGTGGCGTGTGTGTGAGATCTTTACATGGAGAGATGGCAGAGGGACAGCACAGAAAGAGACGGCGTGGAAGGCTTCCTGGCCCACAGACAAGCACCTTTGGGCGGGACACTGGCTTGCAGAGGGGTGCACTTTAGACATTTATCAGCACTAAAGGAAATTTGTGACATTTCCCCAAGCAGGACAGAGGTCAAAGGGACCCATGACGTAGGACCAAGAACCAGAGAGAGCTGTCTGTGCCTGCTGTCTTGGGTGAGAAGAGTCACTACAGGCAAAAGAGCTGTATCCTTAATGCTTTCAGATCCTGATGTGTTCTAACCTGATAAATTCCCTACCTAACCAAGTGTGCAGAAAATAGCTAGCTATCACAAATCCTATGCTCCTTGAATGAAGACAGATAAATCTGGAAATCACCAAGATATCTGTGTAGTTTCCTAGGGGATGTGCAGGCTCTGGGCTGACCCCAGCAACAGCCAAGCACAGAACGCCTGTCAGCCAGAGGTCAAGATGCAGAAACACATTGAGGGATTAATCAAGGTGATAAACAGGGCATTCATGGTCCAGTGAATCACATTGCGCATGACAGCTGCACCCTCACGGGGTAGCCAGAGTCTGTTCCCAAGACCGAGTTGGCGAGGGACACTGAAGCGTGGCTCTCCTGAATGTTCTCAAACGTGAGTCCTCCATAGCGGTTGTGGGGAGAAAAGTCAAGAAAAATGCCCCGTGCTGTGGGGTGCTCAGCGTGCACACTCCGTGCAACCATGAAGTTGGCGTCGGTATTATCTCAGAATCCCAAAGGGCCCTTGTTGAAGGCGAAGCTCCAGGGCATGGGTTATTCCTGGGGGCGGAGTTTAAAGCTACCGGTCTGTGTGGGGAGTTGGGGGGCCGGGAAGCAGTCTGAATTAGTTAATTGTGCCAACCTGGCTGATAATCACATGTGTGGCTAATTGAAAGGCGAAGGGATAAGTGGGTGGTGAGCCTCACCTTTCTAGTTCTTGGGTCTCTTGCATTATGATGGTCGTACCAGGGTGCAGCTACCTGAGCAGTTCCCTGCTTCAGCTTGCAAGATTGACTTCCTACAAGACATCCCCAAGGAGAAGCCATATGGACCTATCCTGATGCAGCCCTAGGTGTTGGAGCAGCCGTGTGGAGACCCCTGCTAATGCTGAGATGCTTATTCGTTCACTGACTCGGCTTACCTCCTGCAGTCGGCATCATTGCCTCTGTTTTGTGAGGTGGAGGACTTTTGGACTGGTGTTGGGATAATGGGTTAATGTTGGACTTGTGGGCTTGGGCAGCATTGGGTTGGGATGTTTTCATGATGCACATTTTCTTTACATAAAACTCTCATACATGAGTTGCTGTGGATTTGTTTCTCTAAAGTACCTAGACTAATACACGGTCCAACCATCACGGGCAGCCCTTTCGGAAAATTACCTTTTGCCTAGTGGGGGGAAGCGTTCTAGAAACGCGATAAAGGTGCTTTTGGAATAGCCCAAGGTGTGGCTCTCAGCCGCTGGCTTTGCGCACAGGTGAAAACGAAGGATGGGCAGGCAGGGCGGGACGGTGCTTACTTCTGGCTCCGCGCGATCTTCCCAGACGTCTCCATCTCGTGCATGGTCTGCAGCCGGCACTTCACCAGCTCCGTGGGGCAGAGCACCAGGGCCGCGAACGCGGAGGCGAAGGACCCGGCGGCCGCATTCTGGAGGTCACTGAAAGCGGAAAGCACAGGGCGTGGTGGGTGGCCGCTGGGCCCCTGGACCCTCCACCCAGAGGTGGCTGGGCAGGGCGATGGGGAGCAGCAGCAGGAGGAAAGGTGGCCCGCCAGGTCCTACCACCTATGAAGGGGGCAGCCATACTTGACTTTCCAGATGGGGCTCCGAGATGGTACTTTCTGGGGCCAAAGCTGCCCAGCACACACAGGTGGCCGCGCAGGATTCAAACAAGATGGCTTGGGCCGACTGCAAATCCCATACCCTCTTTATGAGACAGACGAGTGATGCAAACAAGCAAACTGGTGTGAAAGATGGGGTGGGGGTTACCCACAGTCCCACCGCCCAAATCCACACACCACGAACACTCCCATGTGACTCCAACCAGCCCTGCAATGCAGATAACGCAGATGAACGCAGGGTGAAAAAAGTTACCGTCTGGGGATGACCTCTCACCCTCTGTGAGAGGACACGGCAGAGCTGCAGGAGGGCCTCCCCACCCCAGAAGGCTCACAGCTCAGAAGTCGGGGAAATGGACACTAAAGCAGGGATGGACACAGATCCAAAGCCACGGGATCCTTTACCAGTATCACCAGCCAGTCTCTTGTGGGGCACGGCATCAGACTCCTGCAAGGGTTCAAGATCAGGGGAGGGCGGGGAAACAAATGACTCCCAAGGCTTCTCTGTTAACAAAACGAGCCCAGCTGCCACTGAGACAGTTCCCCTCCCTGTGTGTCAGAGTAGCACTCGGACGTGAGGGCACCAGTCCTTTCGTTGAGGTGCCTCAGGGTGGGCACAAACCTCCGGCTTGTTTGTTAGCAGCCGAGCGCAGTAGCCCTTTATACCACCTGGGGACTGAGGAAAGAAAGGCCCCTGCCAGGGCCTGTGATGGCATTTCATCACAGAAACCCTGCTGCCCTTTGGCGGACCTGCTTTCTGCGAGCACAGAAGGACCGACCACTTCGCAGTGGGTCTGCTGGCTCCTGACACTGACTCCCTCAGGAAATCAATGCTCACAGATCACTGGGACGGCCAGAGTTCCCCAGGGGTGGTCCCACCCTGTGGGCTGTGCATAGAAGTCAAGAGGGACCTAAGCATAGTGGCCCTCACGTCACAGCAGCAGTCCACTCCGGGCAGAATCAAGGGCGGCTTCGAGTCACGAGTCCAGCTTCTGCAGCGGTGGACACATGGAAGGTCTCTAGGGACCAGGCCAGCCTCTCCCACACCCGTGGCCCTGATTAGTTGGCTTGAGTGAGGTTTTCTTTTGGGAAGGAAGCGAGTGTACCCCTCACCTGCCTTTGGATTTCTGGAAGTTGCGACAGGAGAGCCTTTCACAGAGAAGAACTAGCTACCCACAGCTTCACAGGAAGCGGAAAGTCAGCCCAAGGCTACAGGGCCCATCGCATCCTCCTCCCTGCACTCCAACTGGGCTCCAGAAGCCCCCGTGTCTTGCAGGTAGTGTGAAGATCGATACGTGGTCTCCCCTCGGGGACGCTTTGCCAGCCTGCTGACAGGCAGTAGTCAATTAGGGGCATTAACTAGAGCTAGCCAAGTTGGCTGGAGCAAAGGTGACAACCAATAAACATAGAGGCCTCTTAGCCCCAAGCTGAGGTACAGAAGGTTGGCCTGATGCCGATCTCATGACTGGCCCGATGTCAAGCCCACGACTCGGGGCAGTGACAGGGCCAGTGCAGATTTGCTGTGGCCTGTGGCTTTGTGATGAGGACTTTGATCTACCAGTGCTCCCTGAGGGCCTGGGCCCCCTGGTTCTGCTGGGAGGAAGGACGTTTACAACTGGAATGGAAGAGGCAGAGGTGTGGCCGTGGGTTTTGTAAGAACCGGCTGTTTGTCTCCTGTTTCACAAACACGTACCTGAACGCGCCTGCCCTCTAAGACCCCGCTCAGTCAAAGGTCAAGTCCTCGGCCATGCACAACCAGGGACAGACAAATATTGGCCTTATTGCCCAAATCACCCTCCAAGGTTCCCAGGAGCAGTGCTTGCTGCTCAAACTGCCCTGTACTCTGACCTCTTCCTAACAATGCTGGAGCCCCGCCCGAGCTGGGTCTCTTAGTACCCGGGTGATTCTGTGCGTGTCGTTCTCTGGACCTGCCGCCCCACCTGTACTACAGGACACTCACTCAGCCTTGGTCGGCTCCTCTCAGGTCATGAAAAATGGAAGTGGGCGTGAGGGCCTTGTGAACTTTGAGACAGTCTGTCCTTAGCCGGAAACCACCGCTATTCTGCAAGATGAAAATGGCCCGGGACTCAGAAGCAGGATGGCTTCCTTGACAACTAAAGCGTGTGTACAGCTACTGAAATAAACACAAACCACACAGAGCACTTCGCTGCTCTTGGCCAGACTCCCCCACGCTTTCTCAAGGTCCCGATGGGATGTTCTGGAAGCCATAAAACCCCATGCCCGGGACTCAATTCCAACTCGACTCTGCCCAGCAGAGCACAGTAGACCTGCCCTCAGGGCTCCCGAGGCTGTCAATCCGTGCAGAGCAGACTGCCTCATCGTTCTCGCACGCAGGGGCTGACGGGCAGCTGACCTCTGGGTTAGCTCAGGAAAATAAAACCTTTTGCTCATCAAAAGACTAACCAAAAAAGTAAAAAGACACTAAGTGGGAGACTATCTTCACAAACCATATATCCAATAAGAATCTAGTCATCAGAATACATATTGAACTGAGGACAACTTAACAAAAAAGCCAAATGACCCCATCATGAGATGGGCAAAAGCCCTACACAGACATCTGACCAAACAGGATATCTGAATGGCCACTAGACACATGGAAAGAGGCTCTGTATCACTGGACACCAGAGGGAGGCAGACAAAGGCACCGTGAGGTGCCATTTCCCTCCCACTGGGATAAAAACGAAAAAGCGGAAAGTAAGGAACGTTTGCCAGGACGAGGGGAAGGTGGAACCCTTGCTCACTGCTGGTAGGAAGGCATCATGGGGCGGCCGTGGTTAGCCGCTTCTCAAGAACTGTAAACAAAAGCACCACAGGGCCAGCAGTACCACTCCTCGGGAGACCCCCCAGAGCTCAAAGAGAGACTCGGGCGCCAATATTCACGGCACCGCTCACAAGCCAAAAGGTGGAAGCAACCTGCCCACCTGTTAACAGATGAGTGAGGAGACCAACAGACCGGCGTGCTGCAGCCGTATGATGGAATTACTACTCAGCCAGGAAGAGAGGTGGCGGCTAGGTGCATGCGACCGAGATAGGCCAGTCACCGAAGGGCAGATCATGTCCGAGACCAAAGCTTACCCCTGGGTACGGGGGGCGGGGTGGGGGTGGGGGAGACTATGAGCACTGAGCTCCGTTTACAGCGGAGGAGAAATCACACTGATGTAGGAAGCGGGTGGGTCGCACAGCTGATTGATGCACCTGCTGTCGTCAGGTTGTCCGCCTGTGAAAAGCTGAGCTGGCGAAAGCGGTGTGAATCGTTTACAACAGTGATGGGACAAGAGAAAAGGGTTCTTGCGGAGGCTGTTATGTACAACCAAATATCTTGGGGGACTTGGTTTCTCCATTTGGAGGTTTCCGGTCACGGTTTCCTGGGACATCCCAGTTAACCGGCCTAATACATTCATTTGGCATTTCCATTCTACCTCCTAGTTAGTTTTCTGCATCCTGCCTGGGGTCTTAAAAGCTTGCTCGCTTGCTTGTGGCCAACAAAGTGTAACAGATCTCCATTCTCAGAGGAACAGAGAAAGAAGGGAGTCCGATAGGTGTGGCTAATCGCCTCCAGGAACAACCGCCTCTTTTTGCCATGAGCTAGTCGGTGGAGAGATGTGTGTACACACACACACACACACACACACACTTGCATATGGCAAAGAGAGGACAAAGTGGATGGCATCCAGGCACCAGTACTGAATATCCAAGATTCTTTAGAACAGCGGTTCTCAACCTGTCGGTTGTGACCCCTTTAGGGTTCAAACAACTCTTTCACAGGGGTCACCTCATGCATCACAGTAGCAAAATGACAGTGATGGAGTAGCAACGAAAATAATGTTATGATTGGGGGGTCACCACCACATGAAGAACTGTATGAAAGGGTCGTGGCATGAGGAAGGTTGAGAACCACCGCTCTAGAACAACCTTGAGCAAAAGAAGGGAAATGTAAGCTCTTCCGTCACCCAGACTTCCTGAGGCATGAAGGCTGGAGGAGTCCCAGAGACAATCTTTAAACCTTAGACAACAATATCCCTAAAGTCACCTTAAAAATCAAGCAGTTTTAGCTTAACTAGTAAAAGAATGTCTGTCTGGGAAAAACACACACACACACATATATATGTATATATGTGTATATGTATGTATACATATACATACATACATACATATATGTATATACATACATACATATATATATAAATAAGGGCTCCTGGGGGGTAAGAAGGAGGGAGCATAAAGGGGAACTGATATCAAAGAGTTCAAGTAGAAAGAAAATGTTCTGAAACAGCAATTACACAATTATGCGTGAGCTAATTGCGTTATGGAATGTTACAGTATCTGTAAGAGCTCCTAATAAAATGATTAAAACAAGTACGACGAATGCCCGCCTGGAGCACTGTGTTCTTTGAAGGTCTCTTGCTGGGATGGGACCCACGGCAGGCATCGGGTTGGCTGGGAAGCCTGTGGGGCAGTGAGTCTGTGTGGACGCTTGCTTCATGGACGGCAATCGGCGTCACCGAACTGCACATGCAGAAATGGCTGGTGCGCGTTCGGTGTGTATTCTCAACAGCAAGGACAGAAACACATGGTGAAGAAAGAGTTGACATTGTGACAAGGGATACCATCATTACCAGAAAGAAAGGCAATTTTAGAAAAGCAAACGTTTTCCCTGGCAGCAGTAGGTGTTTTGTTTTAAACAAAACCGTGTCGCTGTTGGTGGCTCACCTCAGCTTTGCCTGCTTGTCCAGTCCAATGATTTTCCTCACCACCTGCTGGCAGAAGCCGTAGCACATGAAGAGGACAGAGTTCTCGGCGATGTTGGCAATCAGCGCGGGGCTGGTGCCCTTGTAGAAGCCCCGGAAGCCCACTTGGGAGTAGGTCTTCAGGCAGCAGTCGGTGACACCCCGGTAGAGGGTGGGGAACGTCTGCATCTTCACCTTCATGGTGTCAAACGGCTGTCCCGTCAGGACACATGCCGTCCCCCCTGCAAACCAGGACAGCAGGTCATAGCCCGTGCCACCTCAGGACAGCGCAGGGCAGTCACAGCCTAGACCTCAGGACGGCGTGTCACACAGCCCGTGCCACCTAAGGACAGCAGGTCACAGCCTGCACCACCCACAAGTCAGCACTTCACAGCCCGTGCCACCTCAGGACAGCACGTCACAGCCCACGCCACCCCGGGGCAGCACCTCAGCCCACACCGCTTCAAGACAGCATGTCACGGCCCACCCCATCCCAGAACAGCCCGCCATAACCCACACATCCCAGGGCAGTTCTCCCATATTTCAGAAGTCTGGCTACCAGGATGGCTTTTTGTTTGTTTATTTGTTTATTTTTCCTATTTAATTATCCTTTAGAACAAGGAGCTAAATACTTCACCCCAGGGGAAAAACCTCTCCCAGTTGGACTCCTGAACAAATGATTTGTCTTCAGCTAGAAACAGACTGCAGTCGCCCTTCGATAAGCATGAATCACAGAAGCACGTGTCTCACACACGAGTGTTTCTATACGCCTTGTCCTCAACGTATTGCAGGATTCCGTTCTATTGGCTCCGTGGTAAGTGGGTTCTGACATAAGTAGGATTTTTTTTTTAAGTCTTCATTATTACTGCCTTTTGGGATCAGCATCTTTGTAAGTGGGACCACTGAACACTTGGGAGTGAACAGCTGAGAGGGGAAGCACCAACAGATGGCACGCTGCACTGCGGTCTGAGTGCACGCTACGAAGGCTGAGATCTACAAACACAGACGAACGAGAAAGCAAGCACCGGAAGGTCCTGAGTGCAGTGCATCCTAGCTCCTGCTCGCTGCAGTTGGGAGCTGCCTCGGCGGCCCTATGGAAATGACATCCTGCAATATGGTGAAGTACTGGATAGGGCTCTTCTGGACCTAGTCCCGACAACTCCCACCAAATGACTGGGTGGAGCGAGGCTAAACGTGAGGTGCTTGAAGCTAATACTATAAATACAGTGCAGGGCACCTTCGGGTGGGACCACGCAGAGACGGCATATGGAATCCGAGCGCGGGGATTGGTCAGTTTTACCATCTTGTTAGGTGTAAAACACGCCATCCTGAGAGTGGGAATGGAGGAGATCTCACTCCCATCAAGAAAGAGGAGCCAGGAGGAGAGGGTGCCCTTCGGATGCTGAGATCTCTGAGCAGAACCTCCTCAGCCCACCAGAGAGGGCAAGAGATGGTAGAGAAGGCAGCAGCAGCAGACCAAGAACATGAGACATACAGAGAGAGCCGAGAGCCACGGGGCCGAGGTTGAATGGTGGAGGAGGGGTCAGTCAGCAGAGCTACACTTGCCCAAGCAGGGCAGACGCCAAGAGGACACTGGGCCGAGAGGTCAAGAGCCAAAAGAGCTCCGTAACACTTGCCCAAACAAGCCACGAGGCCTAGGCCACCGGCAGAGCGGAGAGCACTGATCGAACGACTGTGTCCCTGGGCCTTCCTGATCCCGAACTGTTAATGAGTTATTTCCCTAACAAGTTCCACAATCCTGAGTACAGTGTGCGAATTCTGTGTAGCCACTGCAGTGAATCCCGGAAGCCAGTGGAGAACTAGAGTCCCAGGGGAGGGGCGGTTGGGGTCAGCATTAAAGACGACTGGAGGGTGGACGCATGTCTGAGCTCCATTTGGAGGCCTTGGCCTCGGGCAGACGGCGACTTGCTTCTCCTGCCCTCCGGTGCAGCTGCCCTTGCCCCATGGCTTGCATTCCCATCTGTAAAAAGTCTGACCTGAAGTACCAGCATGATTCCTGACTGTTCAGCACGATAAAACTAAAAGCAAACAAGCACAAGCTGACTTGTTTGTTTGCGTTTCCAACTTCGGTATTTGAGGACGTGAACAATGACCTGAAGGACCGCATCCCCCGGCTGTGCCAGGTGACTGAGGCACGGGGCAGGGGAGCACCACGCTCAGGTTCCCGCTCAGGACTTGCTCTGGAGCTGGCTCCGAGGCACAGCACCCCTACAGGAGCCCCGGAGAACTGCACTCTGAGGTTTTCAAAGGCTGATGTTTCACTTCAGGTGGACATGAACTTCAGGTGGACACGAACCGCCAACCTGTGGGTTAGGAGCCAAGCTCCTTAACCATGTGTCCCACCCGGGGCCTCCAAAGCTAAGTAGTGACTGCATTATCTTAGAGTTCTTAAACGACTAGATCTGGCACGATACTACTTGTCATTGATTAGTAACATCAAGTTAGCTTCCCTCTAAGACAGTTTTAGCTTTTGCGATCCATCCCGCTTCCTTTCCTTAATCATACAATTACCGATCTCCTTCAGAGTGCCCCCTACCCCCAGCTGCCAGGGGCTACAGATACTTCTGGAATGCTAGCCTGAACGGTCTTCTATACTTGGCAGAGCTTCCTACACTTGGTTCGTAACAACTGCCCACAGTCACTAGACGCCCATCTCCAGGCAGGGCCTCTGCCCGGAACCCTCAGCGTTATAGCTGACGTATTAATCTTCGTTTCCTGTCACAAGTCACTTCTGACACGTACGCGGCGTTTCTGAAACTTTCCGCTCCTGGCCCCCCTACCCCCTGGGGTGGGGAGAGATTTCTACTTGACCCCGGGTCTATAAATAAGTATACACTTTGAACTTGCTTAAGGAGCCCTGGTGGCATAGTGGTTATGAGTTGGGCTGCTAACCATAAGGTCAGCAGTTTGAAGCCACCGGCCGTTCCGAGGGAGGACGTCGGGGCTTTCTACTCGCAGCGCAGTGACAGTCTCAGAAGCTGAAAGGGCCAGTTGCACCCTGCCCCATAGGGTCCCTCTGAGGTGGCACTGACTTGATGGCAGTGAATTTGCTTTTTGAGCTTGGGGCTTGTTCCTTACCTGTTCATTCTCCCATGTGTAATGAAAATGCTTACCTGTGCCTGTCCCGTCATTATACTTTGGAAGAAGATCATTTGCATTCAAGGTTTCACAGGCTCACAGATGAAGAGAAATTTTGCCCTGGGATGGAATTTGGACTTGGACCTGATTTAAGACTTTGGGGATGTGCTGAAGGGGTGGCGATGCTTTTACACATGGCAAGGGCATGCAACGGGCGCGATGTCATGTACTGGATTGTGTACCCCCAAATATATGCCACCCGGACTCAGCCAGGGCAGGACTACACAATGACCTTCTGTTTTCTGATCTAATTATCCTCTGTATTGTAAATCCTAATTTCTGTTACTGGGGCAGGATTGGAGGCAGTTATGTTAATGAGGCAGGATACAACCTACAGTTTTGTTTTGAGCAAACCTACAGTGTAAGTTTTGTTTTGAGCAAATCTCTTTTGAAATATAAAGGAGATTTAAAAGGTGGACCAGGACCGAGGGTTCTCAATAACACCAAGAAAGAAGGGCAGCGAGTAGAATGCATCCTTTGCACCCAGGTACCCTGTGCTAAGAACCTCCTAGACCAGCGGTTCTCAACCTGTGGGTCGTGACCCCTTTGGGGGGTCTAATGACTCTTTCACAGGGGTCACCAGATGCATAACAGTAGCAAAATTATAGTTATGAAGCAGCAACGAAAATAATTTGATGGTTGGGGGTCACCACATGAGGAACTGTATGAAAGGGTCTCAGCGTTAGGAAGGTTGAGAACCGCTGCCCTAGACCCAGGGGGATATTGCTGCCAACACACATGGAGGTCTCCCGGAACACTGGGCCCACAGATGCTGGGGGTCTTTCTCCTCAAGTGCAAGTCCACACAGAGAAAGGCCTTGCCCCCTAGTAGGCCCCTTGATTTCTGACTTGTTTTCCAAAACTGTGAGAAAATACATTTGTTTATAAAAACTAAAAACACTAAGTATGCGAACCAAGCACAGCTTTAAATGAAGTTAACACCCTTTAGAAGTTATTGTGGAGCACAGCTAGCCTGGGTGATCAGGTTTTTGGCCAAGGGGCGCATGTTTGAGAACCAAGGCTGAGGTGCCACAGGCAGGAACTGCCAGGAACACCTCGGGTTCACGGCACGTTGGAATGACTCTCTGGTCATGGCACATTTGGAAACTTTTTCCTGTTACCAAGTCTTTCACCACCCCCGCAAGCAAGCGGTTACTCGACCCCGTGTGGGGATCTTGGACCTCAGTTTAAGAAGCTGTTGCAGAGAAACTGCAGACGGGCAGGCCGAGCCCCACAACCTTCGAGAACCTGAGAGGAAGAACAGCTCTGGGGGCAGCATGGCTACCTGCTGCCCTACTATCCTCAGGGTTCCAAACCACCGGCCCGCTCCCCAGGAGGAAAATGGGCTCTCTATTCTCCTTAGCAGTCACAGTCTTGGAAAAACCCACCTGGGCAGTTCTACCCCACCCTCTGGGGTCGCTATCAGGTGATGACAGGGCATGTGCTTAAGGAGCTGGACTGACACCTTGTTTCTAGAGGAAAGCTTTGTACTAAAGGAAAAGGGAAGTCCCCCCCTCAAAAAAAGTATCTACGTAGGCTATGCCTGCATCCCCCCACCCATAGCAGCCTCCATTCTCACCCAGGGATCGCCCCCATGAGGGGGCTACATGCAGAAAACATTAGGGGCCAGCAGACACAAGCCGAAACCCAGCCATTTCCACTTCACGAGAGTGGGGCTGACATCAAGTCAGCCTGCATCCTTGGGAATGCTTCTGACCCAGGATTTAGAAAAACAAAACCAAAACAAACAACAACAAATGACCAGCAATCAAGAAAGTAAGGCCCAGTCTGTCTTTTCACCCCGCAGCTGAGGAGCCGTGTGCAAACCCACCATCTCTCTCCGGGCCGTGGTCTGTAACGGTTCCCTCTAGACTCTGAGACCCCCTCCAAGATGGACCTGCGGCATCTCCTCACCTCACAGACCTCCGGCAGAAGGAAGGGACCTGTGTCCCCAACAGGCATCACATATGCCCAGACACCCTCCAGCCCGAGACAGGGCTCCCCACACAACCACTGCAGAGGGAGGCCCTGGTGCTGGTGGACCATCTGTGGTCGGTCCATACTACTGAGGGGAGGCCCTGGGTGGCCAGAGTAAGGATGCCTATTCCATAGCTCCCATAGGTGCTGGCACACCAACCCTAGGACAGGTCTCCTCTGACACACGGAGGGGCGTCCCGGGTGGGAATGGACTTGGACACAACTGGTTTGATGTTGTCGCAGTTTCTGGGTTTATGTGTTGGGGCAGCAACGCCTTGCACGCTGCAGCCCCGACACTCCTGCAGCTTTTAAGTCTATTGTACTTTGCCGGTGTGGCTGTCCCCCAGTTACCTGTACGTGTGGCCACACATGCACGCTCGCACAGGTCTTTCTAGGAAAAGCCATTTGACTCTTGTGCGGCAGAGCCGAGGTCTTTGATAGGCCACATGAGCCCGAAGGCTAAGAATCTCTGAGGCGGTTTGATGCTCTCCTATTACAGAGGCCCAAACTGAGCCCAGCGCTTACGAGACAGGGACGGGAAGCCTGAAGCAGATGTCAGGAGGACAGCCGCTCGCCCACCCAGGGCTGGCCAGAGACCCCGGGCGGGCACTCAGGGAGGCCCACTCACTGTCTTGCGTGCCCCTTCCTTCTCAGGCTGTCCCCCTACCTCCGCCCCTGCTCTCTAACGTGGAGCCGGCTGCTGTCCTCTGTGGCTTATCAATGTTTGTAATACGCTGTCGCCCGCCTCCTCGCTCTCTTACCTGGGGCGACCGACCTTTGGTTCATGGAAAAATACTGGTCCCTGCTCAACGACAAATCCATTTTAAGAACTCAGTGAGGGTCAGGGCAAGAGGCGGTGCTGTGACAGCGCTGGGTCAGCTGCCCTGAGAAGTCCTACGAAAACCCTCCGGACCCAATCCCTGGCAGATCCGATGACCTCATCTGAGTCCCATCAGCTTTAGCTACCCACCTCTCCAGTCCCCGGGCGTGCAAACAGTCACCATGCTGGGATCTCAGGTCCACGCAAAGGCAACTCAGAAGAAAGGCCTGGCAATCTACGTCCCCTGGACAACCCTCTACGAGTCCAGTCCCGCTCTGACACACATGGAGTCACCGGGAGGTAGAGGTGGTGTGACAGCGCCTGGTTTAGTGAGAACAGTCATTTCCGTGAGAGAGAACACGGTGGGACACCACCATACTGGGATGGGCTATCACACTGCCCGAGTGCCCCAACCATACCACATGGAGCAGGGGGCTTCGTCTCAGAGCTGAGACATCTTCCATCTTTGGCCCTCTTCTGAACCGGACATCCACGCACTCCTTAAAGGGTAAAAGCTTACTGCTTCACTGGTGACAAGGCAGGTTCCTCGAGGGACAAGAGGGATTACCTGCAGCCCCCGCTGTGAGGTCGATGGCAGCCTGGATAGCAGGATTGGACTTCATGTTTGTGCACTCGCTCGGTGGTCTCTGCGGACGGCAACTGGTGGCGTCTACGACGGGCTCCTCATATCCCTGCAGAGCAGCAAGAATTCACCGTGAGTCGGGCCTCTGTGGCCTCTTGTTCTCCTACCCAGCCGAGAGGGCCCTGGTTCAGAACCCTGGAGCTGGGAGGTCAGCTCTCTATGGCTCAGAGGAGGAGGGCAGCACAGAGCCCCACCTCCCTGCCCAGCAGCGCCTCCTCTGCAGCACTCAGATCACAGGCCTGCCCTGGACGCCGGTGCAGGGCTAGAGCCCGGCTCTCGGAAAGCACTGGAGTTGAATGCCAAAGAATCAGCCAACCACGGAACGCCCACGCCATCCCACATGAGTCTGGGAGCCCTGGGGGGGTAGTCTTTACACACCAGGCTGCTCACTGCAAGGTCAGCAGTTCCAACCCACAAGCCTGCCCTAGAGGGTTGCTATGATTTGGTATCCACTCATTGGCGGTGAGCCTGGTTGGGCTCGGGGCTGGGATAACTGTCTACCAGGCTCATTCTCCACTCAGACAGCAGCCCATTTGGGGAGCCGGGGAACAAACTCAAAAAACAAAGCCCACTGCCTCAGTGACATGGGTTTTCCTTCTGACCCCTAGTCACCCCTTAGGGCAGAGTGGAACTGCCCCTGGGGGTCTTCCTGAGCTGAGAATAAATCTTGGCAGAAGTATAAAAACTCGTCCTACTCTTGAGGAGCAACACGCTGGTGGTATTGACCTAAGGACCTTGCAGTTAGCAGCCCAACATGTAAGCAACCCACTAGGCCTTCAGAGGAAGTCACGGACCAGGAAGACTGGACGGAGCCCGCTGGGTCTGAGCTCCTGCCTGACCATCAGCGTCAACAGCACTAACCGAGGGGTGCCTCCTTGGTCCCCTAAAGCAGCTAGTCCTCACCTGTACAAAGTGAATAATAAAAACATCTTATGGATCCTATGGGGATGGTCACAAAGAACCCCAGAGGATCCCTCAAGGGGGGGCTGTGAACACGCACAGGGTTAGGGCTGGCAGAGTGACAGATGTTTGTTATTGTTACCAAAGTTCCTTCTGGGCACTTCTCACGCCAAAATGTGCACAGGTATCACCTGAGGGCCTTGCTAGCATGCAGGCTCCAATCCAATAGGTAGGCCTGAAGCGTGTGTGTGTGTGTGTGTGTGTGTGTGTGTGTGTGTGTGTGTGTGTTGGGGGGGTGCTAGAGGGTCTGTGTGTCTAACAAGTTCCTAGGTGACATGAGGCCACACTTTAAGAAACGTCTGGCTCACTGCGTCCCAAATTTGCTTGAAGAGAACCACCAGGGGTGGTGAGGGGAAAAGGGGGGTCTCCTTATGTGAGATCACCAGGCTTCTTTCCTAGAAACGCTCATTCATAAACTGGGGCTTCGACGGTCCTGACAGTGGAATCTACTCCACCAACTTCACACCAAAATGAATGCTTTCCTATGCACGCACTCAATAAACACTTGAGGGGGGACACGGAGGATTTAAATCATAAATGTGGAAACCAATTCAGCATGGACTTTAGGCTCTGTCAGTGATTTATCAGTGATGAACAAGCTATGATGCATATTCTTGAAAAAAGGCCTCCACTCTCGCCCCCAAACCACCCGGGGCGTGTGGGGGCACACTGGAATCGAGAGGAGGACCAAGGCCCTTTCTGAGCACCCCACCCCCTTCGGTCATAATAAACAGCCGCAGAAAACCATTTTGGCCACCAGAAGTTTAAGCATTTTACCGATGCCAACTCAGAAAGCCTCCTTCTTTTTACCGACTCCCTCCCGCCCTGGAGTCCATGCCGACTCATAGGGACCCTATGAGACAAGGAACTGCCCCTGTGGTTTCTGAGACAGTAACTCTTTAGGAGAGTCGAAAGTCTCATCTTTCTCCTGGCTTCCAATGGCGGACCAAAGTTCTTTACTAACCCAAGTTAAAAGGCACCAGTTTTGCTACTGATAGGCATGGAGGGATAGTTCCAACGACTAACCTGACCAGGTAGGGGCCATACAGGACTTACGGAGGGGCTAGTTAAAACTCAGGGCTTATTCCAATTTATAGCAGCCCTCTAGGACAGGGTAGAGCTCGTTCGGGTTTCCGAGAGAGGCTGATGGGTTTGAACCAGTGACCTTATCGTTAGCAGCTCAATGGGTAGCCCACCACACCACCGGGCTCCTTGTACACCAGGGCTCCTTTTCCATAGAAGAAGTTATCAGAAACCTGATCCAATCTCTGCTTCCAGATGGAAAACGGTGGGCCAGTGGGGGGGGAAAGGTATTGACTAAGATCACACAACCAGTGACAGAGGATTCAACTCTTGTCTTTGGATCTATTTCCACCCACCAACCCATAGTCGATTACAAGTATTATTCCAACCAGCCCCCAAAACAAAACATCCAAGCCCGCATTTTACAGGGAAACCGAGTTCAATGAGAAGGCCATTCATATAGGGAAACTTCCTGAATGCATTCATTCCTTGGAGTCTTGAAGCTTCCTTCTCAGAAGGAAAGTGTTACAGGCACAGCAAGCAAAAATCCAAACCCACTGTTGCAGGCTGACTTGTTTTCGACTCACAGGGACCTTATGGGGCAGAGCAGGCCAGCCTCATTGTGTTTGCAGGGCTATAAAATTTGCTGGAAGCCGAAATGGCAAGTCTTTCTCCTTGGTTTGACAACTGAGTGCTTTGACAGCCTGGGCTCTCTACAGACACATCTATCGCTTTACAAACGCCAAACCGCCACACTTTAACTTCAACAAACAACTCTCTGTAGAATTCTTGGGACTGAAACGCGTGACAGTATAGGCCTCATTTATTTAAATCAGGCATAGCCAAGGCTTGGAGGAGACTGGCGCCCAGGAGTCAGGCTGGATCGGCAAGCCTTAAAATGTATAAACTGTACCAGTAGGAAAGGAAAAGGGACATCTGATTCAGGTCATCTGAAAAGCATTTTGTTCCCTCTCTTGCAAACTCTACCAG